GCGAGAGAGAGAGAGAGAGAAAACGAAGGAACGTCATGGCGCGACTTTATTACTCGGCTAGTTCGATTTACGAGTTACTCGAATCCAGGTATTTTCCTCCGTGAGCATGAGTGGGAGAGCGGAGTCGTCGGGTGGGGAGGATCAAGGACATTCGACGATAAATTTTCTTGGCTATAATGGGGCTCCGTGTGGTGGAATGGGCAGTGACGGGCGCGGATATCGGGGGTAGGATTTCCGCGTCGACTCGAGAGGCGACGCCGAGGTAAGACCGCAGGGAAAAGAAAACAGAAGGAAGCAGGCGACGGAAGGAGGATCAGACGCGCGAAGTGGGATCGAGAATGTCGTTATCGACAAGAAATTTTCGCGGCGATTGCTCGCCGCTTGCGAACGGACGGTGCCAGAGGACTCTGCAATGAGGAGAAAGAAAGAGAGAGGGAGAGAGAGAGAGAGAGAAAGTGCTCCACCGCGACGCTTAGGACCCGAATAGACCGCATCTAAAATTATTTCTCTAGCTATTCCGCAAATAGAGAAAAAGAGGGTGGGGAGGTAGTTTCTGCGAGACATTCCATCCTTGTTCCTCGCTCTATATATATTCGCCTCTCCCTTTTCGTCCGCATTCTGCCGGCGTCTTCAGTCTAATACCGGTCTTCCGTCCTAATGCCTCGTTCGTGTCTATAAAGTAAACCCCTCATAAAGCATCGAGCCGGCGCCGCGCGAGAAAGCGTGAGGAATCCCCCGGATGTTGCGGTTTTCGCGGTGAATGAGAGTGGTCGAGGATCTTTAAAGTTTTACTCTCGCGCGCGTCGAGGGGCAGGACGGCGCGCCGCCGCCGCCGCCGCCGCCGGTAATCCGTTTCAGTCATTCCGTATGCGCTCGGGCGTCCCTCGGTTGCTAGTGCTCCGAAGCTGCGAACTAACGGTGCAGCAAAGAATCGAAAAGAAATCGGAATGCAGGGTCGAAAATAGCTGAGAAGCAGAAGTGAAAAATTTGCATAAAAGCCACAAACGAAAGTAGATAGCATAGGAATGAACATTATCTAAGCATTTAAGTGGTGCGCGTTAGATGGTATTTAAAGTAGAAATTGAAAGCAGTATAATATTTCGATGGTGCCGCCGGTGCTATAAATATGCGATTAAATTTTCAACCCTCGATTTAGAGTGCCGTTGGGGATCCACACTTGTATTAATATAATTTAAACGTTTCTTCGCAAATTATGAATTTTATGTAGACTATCATAGAAAGCAATTCGTTCGTATTTTATCTATTTGATAAAAAAGACGTAAATAAGGGAAAAAAGGATACGAAAGCAAAACCGGAAGAGTTGAAAGGAGTATATAGTGTTCATCCGAGATTCTGGTAGCACCCAATTTGCGAAGGAGGACTCGGCTGGCGGAGGAAGTTTTTAAATTCGGGTCTCGCTACCTCCTGATAGAGGATCCCCGAGTGGCTATTTCTCACGGGCGAATAGAGTCGTTTAATTCCGTGGACTCGAAACGAGAGAACAGAAAACTGGCCGTGCATCGGACCGCGGCTTTTTATGATTCAGTGCGGTGCAACGTCTTTTTTTCTCTCTCTCTCTCGGACTCGTGCGCTTCTAGCCGGCCGGGAAGTCGCACTAGGCGAAATTACATCGTCGGATTTAACGAAATTTTCACCGGCAAAATATTTGCACGCGGCTCCTTAGTATTCCGGTCGTTGCTCCCGGCTTACGTTGTCGGGTCGTTTCTTCTTAATTCCGAGAGTTCGCAAAACGAGGTCGCGTTCGACAGAAACGACTGATGCAAAATATATCGAAACATCCAACTTCTGTAATGTTCAAAAAGATCGGTCGAAAGCGCGATGACGCAACATGTGACGACGCGACGGGTATAACGAGGCAGACTCTTCGCTGGTACATCGACAATTAGAAGGAAAACAAAAGAAAAGAGAATTGATTGTATTCCAGGAATTTCTCTTTTACAAGTAGAAATATGTAAGAAGATTTAATCAAAATATAATTAGCTAAAAGTATTAAGAAAACTGAGATACTGAACAAGAGCGTAATAACTGAGAAATAAATAAAGATGGAAATCTTGGAAGATAAATTTTTCTCTTGGAACGCATAATACAAAAGAAAAAAGGGCAGGCCAAAGAAGATTTAATAACAAGTAACAGAAAATAACTGTGCTTAAAATGAAAGCAGAAAGCAGGAAAGAGAAGTCACTTATGTACACGGCGTAGCCGTAAGACAACTGAGAGAGTATACTAATCAGCGATATAAAGACGAACGGACGTATTTCAGCCGTCTAAAAACGGATCCACTGGCATACGCATGCACACACATACACACACATACATAGAACTACGTTAACGAAGCGCGGAGTCGAGGAGAAAGAAGAACGCGGCACAAAGGGCTTCTGCAGGGCGGCACGCAAGCATCCTTCCGCGCGCAAGAATGCAGGATCATGATGAATTTTACAGAATCCTCTGCTCATCGGAGACCGTGCGCTCCGGCAAGAAGGGATTCTTCCACGATTTCAGCGACTTCGTGACGCACACCGCGGGCGATACCTGGACATCGAAGATATTCGGCCGGATCGATGACGACGTGGGGCGGGCGAGGGCGATCTTCACCGACGCGAAAGTGCGGGACGTCGTGGTCGACGCGCTCGGAAAGGTGCAGCCCCTTTTCAGGGACAAGGATGCGGAGATCTCGAGGCGCAGACGACTCGAAGGATATCAGCTCGCCGCCGTTGGCCAATACGAAAAGGCCCTTTTGCTGCTCAGTCAAGCTGTCCTGCGTGCTCCGCGACCAGGTCGCTATAAATAGAATGCTTGCAATAGAATGCCAATTATCTGAGCGCTGATTCTCTCCGACGATCGATACAAATGCGTGAACTGGAATGCATAATTTATGTTAAAAGGATGCGTTGTATTTTACTTGGTTTCATACCTCGCTTCGTTTTACTTGAAGATTTTAGCCGGATAATAAATGCATTACTGTCTCTTGTCTGGACATCTTGTTTCGCGATTGATAATGTATTAAAATAGTAATGCATAGTAGTACATTAGTAATTATTCAGACGAATCGCTGGCAAATCATTGAATCTATGCTTAGTTCTGTGCTCATACAAAATAATATACAATTATATTGTGCCAATAATTAGAACGTGAAGCTACGAATTGTTTAATTGTTACGCAATTATCATTACGATATAATTTAAATTTACTTGATTCAGTATTATTAATTATTGATTAATTATTAATTATTATTTAATTACTAATTGATTCAACCGTTATATTAAAACGGTGATTTATTACTAGAACTTATGATTATTTTGTGATATATTTGCACGGGTATTAGAATTGAAACGAATATTCTGGAACTTTTATGGATTCTAATGGTTTTAAAACTATGTCGATTGTTAGCTATGGCAGCGCGCCAGATTTACAACAAGTAGAATAAATACTTCACTCGAGTCCTGTTTACAGCATCTTGCCAACATGCATCAGTCGATCGGAGGAGTTCCGCATTTTCACGGCTTCGTTGGCTGCGCGTCAATAAATTCGCTTAACAGTAATCGATGAGCACGAGCGGGACTCGGGGTCGAATAGCGATATTTCCCCAAATCACAAGTCGACGATATCTGTTTCAGATAAGAGCAAGACGGTGGATCAGGGTCTGACGTTGCCCCTGGCGCTGCTGGGCAGAGCCGAGATCTTTATGGCTCTCAAAGAATACCATTTCGCATTGGAGGATCTGCGGCTGGCCGCCGAGCACGACTTACCGGATAAGTCGATGTAAGTATTCGCGTCCATGAAATCTCGGCTTTCTTAATGCAAAAACGAAAAACAATTGTTCCATCTCTGTGCAATAACAAAAGAAAATTATTGTATTTTATTCAAATCGCGGCAGCACTCATTATGTGAACGTTTTTTATATTGAATATCCTGTTTTTCCTGTTTGAAATAATATTTTTACACATTTTAGTTTTTAAGAATGTGAAATTTTTAGGTGCAATTGAGAATAGCGTAATATTTTAAATTTAATATATATAAGAGAATATTCGCGATTCTATTGTTAAATGCATCAAGGCACTTGATTTTAAAATCCGCGCGATTTAAAACAATTCTCATGTATGTGAGAAAAAACTTAACTGGACCGGATTATAAACGATGTTGTTTGAAGCGCAGCAATTCTCGAGCCGGTTCTGGAATTGAAGCACGAATCGTACATCGGCGGAGTTTCGCGGACGAATCTGCGAGTCGCGCTCAGATGCGGAATTTGCGACATGCCCTTTTTCATTTCCGCACGTTTTCTCTGACAGCCGAAGCGCGCCACTTCCGGCCACTCTCTATAATTTTCGCGCATTTGCGAAAGCGAGTTTTCCAGGCACGCCGCACACCGATACACACGCATATGTACTACAGCGAATTTAATCGCGAATATATCTGCCCCGGGTGTACACTCGCCTGGGTCCACCGGAGGCTTCGAGCCCGATATAATATAGCGAGGGGCAAGAAGGGATGTACGCGCGCGTACTTCCTAAAATATTCAGAAGGGATGGGCGACCTACCGGGACGGCGGCGGCGGCGGCGGCGGCGGCGGCGGCGGCGGGCACTACCGAACGTAACTGGACTCCGGTTTTAGCCTCTCTCTGCGGTGCCCGTGCTGGTTGCCGCCAGGGTTAACCTCGTGAAACTGGTCGTACGACTATATAACTGGCCTTTGAGTAGACGGACAATCAACATTTAATGCAGTGCTTTTGAAAGGACGCGCCGCGTTCTCGGTCGACGACCGATGAGGTGGATAAAGCGCATCGAATGAGGGGTTTAAATTTTTAAGCGCCATTAACTTTACGCGAAAAGTACGTTATTTAATATTAGAAGCGAGAGAAAATTTAATTGCGACTGAACAGTCCCGGCGCCGTCTCTTTTCGTATGCCCGATGATTCAGTATGATGGGAAATTTGAAGGATCGATGGAACGAACGGGAAGATGAGAACTGCGTGAAATGGATTACAAAATCGTGAGACTTGACGTCGTACGCGGTACGTTCGCCGTGCTTCAACAGCGTGCTGCAAATCAGAATTTTTACTAGATTCGCAAAAATGGAAAGCGGCCGTAAACATTGTTTACAGGGTTATTCGATTTTGAAACCCGCCACGCACGAGGTGTTTGCTCTTATTTTGGCAAAAATCCCCTTGAATCCCCCGTTAAAGAGAAAGGAAGGAGCTCAACGATCTGTCGTGATCCGTTTCTCCCTGGCGAACTATTCGAGAAATTTGTGTTATGTGTAACATTTGATCACGGGCAATCTTCCAACTCGTCGCCCTTGTATTGTTCCACGAATCGAAAAATATACAAAGCGGCTGTGCGGTCACTTCGTATCAAATGTTTGGACCGACCTCTGTACGTGATGCACTCGCGCGCGCGCGCGCAGTACTGCGTGGATGAAACCGCTGTTATATACCGGAGGAAAATATCATAAAATCCCCCGCGGCGATATAATAACGAGGGTAATTCGCTCTGCGTTCGATGGCGATCAGCGAGATTAACGGCATTTGCTAACAGCTTGACTAGGAAAGTGGAAGTAAAAAATCTATCGAGTTCCACAAAGAATTTATCTATGCATACATTAGAAAAAAGTTCTTTTTTAACAGTTTCCGAATCTCTTTATATGTATATATTAAACGCATACACTTCTGATTAAAATTTACGAAAATTTAAATATCAGACAAATAATTTTGATGATATAAAATTTATTGCTATCGAAAAATGATTTTTAAAATTTGTTTAAAAATTAATTTATAGGAAGGAAAAAATTTAATTGAAGATACTGAGAATGTAACTCACAAAAGAAATAAAATCTAAAGTTATAAAAGCTATATTTTTTATTGTTTCCGTACTGTTGACTACAGATGCAAAAGTTTTTGGAAAATATTTGGCTAGGCAGGTTTGCAGTTGTATAAACTATCATTCAACTGCGATATTTATTTTTATGCAACGTCATAAGCAATTTTTAGAATTCAGTGCTACCTGTGGATTTTGCGAAATTTCGTAATCAAGCTTTAACAATCCGCATTCCCCGCGGTTTATCGACGCAGACAGGTGCAGTTATCATTGCATCATTCGCGTAGACACGAGTGAGCCGCGCTCATCGCCTGGCCGGCGGTCGCGGGTGTCTCGCAAAATCGATAATATAAACACCGCTCGCGAGCCGCGAGCGAGCGAGGTAGCTTTTCTGTCAATTAAAATCGCAGCTGAATTAATGACGGATAAATGCAGACATGACGGATTACGCAAAATGGATTTTACTGACCCGCGCCACCCGGTATCCGTCCCACGCCGCAAACGGTGTTATATTCGGACGGGAGGGACCGTTATAATTATAATTGCTACAATTATCGACGAGTGCCACTCAGAATTCTCAAAATCGCGACACCATTAGAAAGGCCGAACGCAAATGCACACGTGTAACTAGCGCGCAGACAGTGAGACATTATCGAAGCGTTTTCGGCGATTACACCGATCATGCGACCGTTCCAAAAATTGATACCGTGACACGCAAGAAAAACGTGAGTGCAAACGCGTACCTGCGATGTGTTACGACCAAAATTATCGGGATATTCTAGCGCGGGCAGATCGCGGTTGTGAAACAGCGCGTCCTCTTCCCCTCTCTCTCTTTCTCTGCTTTTTTTTTCTCTCATTCTTTCTCGCGCGCGAAATACAGATTTTTACGAACGCTCGCGAAACAAAACAAATAATATTTTGCGAAGGGAAGGGACGCAACGCTCGGCCGCGTTGCAAAATAATGTTCGCAGGATGACACTCGGGAAAACACGTTTGCTTTATCACGAAATAATAGTCATCGCGTTTTACGCGAGTGTAATTGTGAGGGAAATATTTTGCAAGAACAAAAGTAGAGAAATGGAACGGGATACCTGTCGGGCCCGTATATCAAATTCCGTTTTATAGTCATTTTCGTGTCTCGCGTTGTTATCCGAATGTCATAGTTAAGAACGAAAAGGAGGGGAGCAAAAGTTAAAGTGGAAAAAGGAAACTTCTCATGGACGAAGTGCACCGTGCTGAATTTAAATCGAGCAAAGCGACGCATAAGACAATTTGTCTTTCACCGTTGAAGAGATACAAACGCTCAATGGTGGAACATTTCTTCCCGAACGAGAACTTTTTAAAACGACAAAAAAAAAAGTGTTTTTGCGCCAGCGCGACATTTACATTGTCTTTATTGTTATCCTGATTATTCGGTATTAAAATACTTAGCGAGAGTGATAAATTGAACGAAAATCAGATTAAAATGCATGAAGATTCGCAGCGCTGACGAAGGGAAAATCGTTGAAAAAAGTACGCTGTCGCAAATACTTGAAAAATACTCTCAGATCTCGCAATTGCGCTTTCCATGTTTAACGCCTGAGAAATCCGGACGGAGCTCGTACTCGCAGCCCGGCAGAGAAAGATAGAGATCGGCCAGATACGAGATCGAGCCATCGCCGGAGATAGAAAGCTCTCAAGCTTCTTCGTCGGGGTCACGCGCGAAATTAGATCGGCCCCGATCTCTCCGCGGAGGCAATCCGCGACTGGATAAATCGTGGATACGAGCCGCCGGTCGCAATGAACCTGGTTTTTTTCTCCGGATTCCGACCGGACCGCCGCTGCTCTCCCGTGCGGAGAAAAAGAGACAGATGTTGAACACGATCGGGGTGGAGAACAGCCTGGCGTGGAAATCTCGTACGTCCGCCCGTCAGTTCGGCAAGAAGGATTGCTCCTCGAGCCGGCCTGCACGTTCCTGCAAGGGCTCTGATCCAGATTGCAGCGGCTTTCGGGGATAAGCGATGGCGGGCGACGCGACGCGCGACGCGATTATTCGGATGAACATGCATCCGGGAAAATCGGGAGCAAGCATTTCTCACGATGTACGAGCGAGAATTTTTTCCGGCGCTTACATCAAAGTGACGTGAGTGAGTAATTTATTATTGCGCGGTTAATCCAATTTTCAAACGCGAAATCAGACATTTTATTCAGACATTTTAACCGTTTGCGATCGAGTCTTTTTTGCCGTTGACTTTATTGTACGTGCAATTTTCTAATATAAAAATTCAAACATTTTTGTAAATAAATATATATATAGAATGCTACATACGTATGTATACATATGTAGCATTCTATACATACTACATAGCTTTTGGTTTGTTTCTTGGGGTGTGGGTATGAAATGGGGTTTCAAGTAAAAACGATGTTGGAACCCTTCTGTGTGACATGCGCCCGTAACAGAAGATTACGACATCTGAAATGTTCAGCTTTACGACCGCAAAGGGTTAAATCGGAATGGTAATGCGTAATCTCAAAAAATATTTAATTTTTTAGTCTGCAGAAAGGGTCTTTAATTTTTTAATTCAGAAAAATAATTAAAATTTTTTTACATCCAAACGTATATTTTCATAGTAAAACATTTATTGCAAAAGAAATATTACATAAAATTAATGAATGTACAATGCGATATATCATATTTCCGGATCGATGCTTGCGAAGGAACATCACTGCTTTATCGAGAGCCTTTTATTTGAATCTTTTGTAGATTATAAAAATTAAAAGTACTCCAGTTTGATTATTCCTCTAACAGGGGAAACACTGTGAGCTTTGATCGTAGACAATGCGGAAGAGAGAGATTTAATTATCGAAATAAAGAACGTGGGGCGGGGCAAAAAGGATGCGGTGATGAAAGGATCGCTCGGAACACTTTCGTGCTCGAAATGACGGAAAGGTTCTCGTTGAGGATAGAA